ACAGGGTAGATTAAATCACTCAATATCAGATAATATTTACTGGGCAGGGGAGATACCTAGATCACACTCCACTTTCTCGAGTCTAACACAACAATGCTTCACACATCAGTTATTCGATAAGAAAAGAAAACGTAAAGAGTTCATCTCCATTTGTTGGAAAGGATTTATTTATTTTATTTATTTAAAATATTTTTAACCTACCTTTCTCCTTAAAAAGGACCCAAGGTGACTTACAATAATTAAAAGACAGTATTTATGTTAGTAACTATGAATATACAATACTAAAAGGATCAATGACTACAGCACCAAAAACCATAAGAAACATCAAAATATATTAAATGCAGTAAGGCATAGCAATCCATTAAAAAAAAAAAACCACACTCAGGCAGCCAGTCACTAAGGGAAACCTTGCCTGGAGAGAAAGGTCTTCAACTGTTTGTGGAAGGACAGCAAAATGGGGCCAGCCTGGCCTCTTGTGGGAGGTCTGGGAGCAGCAAGAGAAATGACCTCTCCTGTGTCACCACCAAATTCACCTGTAAAGGTGGCACAATTGAGAGGAAGGCCACTCCTGATGATCCTAACACTTGAGCAGGTTCCTAAAAGGAGATGTAGTCCTTGAGATAGCTTGAGGCCAAGCCATTTAGGCCTTTATAGGTTACCACCATCACTTTGAATCCTGCCCAGAAATGAATCTGCAGCCAGTGGAGCTGCTATAACATACGATGTTGATTGAGCAGTAGCCACTACACCTCCTTTAAGTTTTAGAGACAGGTTTCAACTCTTTTAAAATTGGTGAAAAATTGGATAGTGATCTTAATCTAGAAGTCTGTCTTGGAACTAGATCTCTCATGTGCCTGTGCAGCACCGGTATGCCCTATCTGGCATGGGTTCCCTGTCAGTGGAGACTGGACTACTGGGTGTATTAGTTTCACATGTATAGATTGGATTCCTTTGTTGAAATAAGAGTCGTTCTGTGTTGATTCCAGTGGTGGAATTCTGGATTTTGTTCTTTCAGACTGCAGCATAATGTTGTATTAATTTAATGCCCAACTGTGTGAAGACCTCTGCATTCTTTTGTAAATCATCCTATCAAGGAGAGCATAATTCTGAAACATTCCCTATACTATATTCATCGGCTGTACTAGGAATGGTCATCCCCATAGTTTGTTGTTTGCTTCTTTCATCCAACAGCACAGCCACTAGTGAGGTATTGTAAGAGCTGCTGTATTAGGAATGGTCATCCCCAGAGTTTGTTTGCTTCTTTCATCCAACTGCACAGCCACTAGTGAGGTATTGTAAGAGCCGCTGTTCAGAAACAACAGGAGGGCCATCCCAAGGCATAAGACAGCTTTTAAGTGGAGAAATGTGCTATTTCATCCTGCATAATTTTAGTTTGTCTCTAAAGAAAGAGCCCAATGCAGGGAGAACTCTAGATAGGCACAGCAGAGTGTGTAGATAGAATTCTAGTTTGGGAAGGATAGTTTGAACTATATATGGCTCTTAACGATGTTCCTCTTGTTTCATCTAACAGTTCAGATCAAAGTATGTTGAGTTCATAAGCACAGGGACTTAGATAATACCTTTGGCTGAAGATGCAGGACTATTTCTCAGTATAGTTCTCCAGCAAACATTATTACTGTATTGCTGTAGCTCACCATAGTAACTCGGGGATTGCATACAGTTATTACAAAATAGGTATTTATCATACTTTATTATGCAACACTCCTGCATCAGTAAAGCAGGTTTAATTACAGTGTATTTGCACAATAGATCTCCGGTTTTACTCTTTTAATAGGTTTGCAATAATGTCTCAGAACAGTCTTACCATATTTAGGACATTCGTCCTGCAGTTGTGAGCATGTGGTTTTTATTTAGAAAATGGTATAAGTACTTATTGCAGTCCCATCATTCAATCATATTAAGTATGAACACCCTCCAATAAAGCCATGCAACCCCTTTCTCCCCTCAGTTTAAATCCTGCTGTACACACAGAAAAACTAGCTGACTAATTTAATTCCTCCATAACATATATTGAACTCATTGATTCATTTCTCTGTGCATCAAGGAGGGTTTAAGATGAAAGCCACTATCTGAGCTTTTACGTTAATTCAGAAGTCCCCTTCCCTTTATGAAATTTGGTTCTTTTTTCCCCACACCAACTCCCCAGCTTCCAATATTACAATCTCCCCCCTTCCCATACACACATGTATCCCAAGACTCCCAAAGGCTTCCCAAGGGCAAAGAGGAGTCTCAGAATGTGAATTTGGTCAGGTGGGTCAGATTGGAAATTTTAAATTTAATATCAATAAATATATGTCACCAGATGATGATGTCATCTGACTTGCTCTGTGTAAATTTACACTAACAGGATTTCAGCCAAAAATAGAATAAAGCCTACCTCATTCTAAAAATGACATATTTCTCTTAAACACTGTCTTCCTTCTGCATCTTTTAAAAACACATGTAAAGAAGTTCATATTTGATTATTCTGTACATGTAAGATCTTCTGCAGTTTGGAGACCTTGCAGTACAATATATAGTAGATACATTATATGCGACAGGACTAAATCTTGCCACTACTAGACAGTCTGCCTCAGAAGGACTATATTAAAATCCTGTTGTTTAGGATAGTAGATTTCAACCAGAGTGGGCCCATTGACTCAGTGGAACTTACAGAGGAGTTGACTTACCAAATCCTCACTGATTCAGGTAACCATAGAATAATGGAGTTGGAAGGAATCTATAAGGCCATTGGGTTAAATCCCCTGCTCAATGAAGGAACTGAAGTTAGGGATCAGTATCCACTGATTCTCTTGGCCATGGTCACCTGCAGTCAATGAAACCAGATCACCAGAAGTTGTTTAAATTCTGCAGATCCATTCCATGGATCCAGGTCAGATTTTCAGAATGCCCGGAGCAAAATTTCACAGAGAAACTGGGGGAGAATTTTTGCCAGCTTGGTAGAAGGGTGGGGTTCTTGAAGGGAAAAAAGTTCTTCTTTCCATACAAGTAATGAATTAATAAATTAAAGTTCAAAAGTAAAGTATTAAAATCATAGTGTTAAAGGGAACAAATTTGCTCCATAAAACTGGATCACCTGAACCAGTTTAAACTCTGGCAGATCCATTCCTCAGATCCAGACATTTCAGAACGCCTGTAGCAAAATTACACAGAGAAGCTACAGGAGAATTGCTAGCTTGGTTTCTGATGGAAAAAAGTTCCTTTTTCTATACAAGTAAGCAATTAATGAATTAAAGTTAAAAAGCATAGTTACTAAAGTTAAAAAGCATACTTTTAAAGCATCCGCTTGGGAGCTTGGAACCAATC